TCCACCCTCCCCTCCAAGAAAATATGTGACAAGCGTATTCACTGAATGCTCAGATCCAAAGTCACAGACAGGAGCATAAAGACAGGCCACGTGTAACTCGCGTACCAGCAGACTCCCCCTTGGGGCCTTGATGGAGACTTGGGCAGAAACAGATGGCACGCTGTGAACTTGGCCCATTTAGAGGCTCTTACATGCTGCACTATGTCCCTCCTAAATTCATAGGTTGAAGCCCTAAGCCCAGTGTGACTGCATCTGGGGGTGGAGCCTCTAAGGAGGTGCCTAAAGGTCAAATGAGGTCATGAGCAGTGGGGCCCTGGCCCGTGGGACTGGTGCCTTTATGAGAAGAGGCCCCAGGTCACACGCTGTGTCCACGCATTCGTGGAGGGAAGAAGGACACGGGCTCTCACCAGGAGCTGGCTGGTACCTCAGTCTGGGACCTCCCAGCCTCCGGGACAGTGAGGACTTAGTTTCTGTTGTTGAAGCCACCTGCCTGTGGGATTTTGCTGTGGTCGCCCGAGCCGACTGACCTAGAGCCTTCCGCAGCTCTGGGCCCCTCCCTACCACTGACGTTGTCCCTCCTGGTTCCCAGAGGGGCTGGGAGCAGGATACCCCGTGTGAGGCCGGGGTCATAGGCAGCAGCAGGATCCCCTACCCTGAGGACAGCCATGGAAAGTTCCCAGCGCTTTCCTGCCTTGCCAGCTGGACCAAAGGCTCGTTCTTCCCATAGTCCCGTCTGGCCTCGAGGATGTCAGCACAAAATCAGCATGATACAGACCCTGTGCTCCCAACATGGACCCGGCTCCGGGGAAACTTTCTTCCCCTGACCCCCCTCTCTGGAGTGGGCGGTGGGAGCGGGATCCCTGCTGGGGGCCCCACTGAGCTGCCACTTGGGGCAGAGGAAGGAGCCCTATGGTGGTCCCCTCTTCTTCCCACTCTCCGCACTTACATATTTTCTGTGATCCATACTTCAAATCCATGTATCCCTAACACCCAGATCCCCGAGGGTCAGTGATTTCTGGAATCCTGCCCAAGGCATTTGTCTGGCGTCCCCTTGATCTCGTATTACCTCTTCCCCTTCCTGGAGGGGGACAGAGAGCGCATAGGGAAGCCCCAGGTGGGCCATATTCGGCGGGGGGGGGGGGGGGGCTGGAACTTGTTTCTAAACTGCTTTAGTTATAAAAGTAATACCTCCCAAACCCTGGAGCCGGGAGCCTGGGAAGTAGGGATAGACTGAGGTGGTAGCTTTCCTTGTGACAGGACCCGGGTCCCTACCTCCAGCGCCCCGTCTGGGAGGGAGTCTTTGGTGGGATCAGGCGGCACGGTGACGACCCCAGCTCTGCAGCAAGGGGCGTCTGTGTGGATCTCAGCCCCTGGGAAGCAGGTGTGTGTGTGTGTGTGTGTGTGTGTGTGTGTGTGTGTGTGTCCATCCGTCTGTCCGTCCGTCCAGCTGTGTGTGTGTGTGGGTGTGTGTGTGTATATGTGTGTGTGTGTGTCTATCCGTCTGTCCGTCCGTCCAGGTCCTGCAGGACTCAGGGCTTTCAGAATCTTCTGTGCCTGGGCCGGAGTGTGAGCGTGCATGTGTGTGAGTGTGTGGTGTGTGTGTGTGTTTGTGTGATCATTTGGCCCCCCTGCCCCGGAACTGCAAATGATGCATCTCACAGTCTTGTCTCACCATCCTTCTCACCGAAAAGAGGAGAAGGGAAAACCCTTAGGTCCTATGAATGAGAAAGACATGAACACTGGGAAATCTGAGTCAGTCTGCGGTCACTTGAGACAATGTGAAAATGTCCATTATCTGGTTTGGTAATGCGCTAGTTACATCAGCTGCCACCATTGGGAGAGCTGGGTGATGGGTCAAGAGACAGCTATGCTTTTCTGGTGACTTGCTGTAAATCTATAATTCAAAAGAAAAAATATTTTTTTAAAATTTGTTTTTACTGTTTATTCGTTTTTTGACAGAGACAGAGAGTGAGCAGGGCAGGGGCAGAGAGAGAGGGAGACACAGAATCCAAAGCAGGCTCCAGGCTCTGAGCTGGCTGTCAGCACAGAGCCCGACACGGGGCTCGAACCCATAAACTGTGAGATCATGACCTGAGCCGAAGTCAGACGCTTAACTGACTGAGCCACCCAGATGCCCCAAGAAAAAAGATTTTTTAAAAATGACAGATCCACAGAATAGGATAAAATACTTGCAGATCATAAATCTAATAAGGAACTTGTATCCTGAGTGTGTGTGTATATATATATATATATGTATATAGACAACTCAAGTATCCATTAACTGATGGATGGATAAATAAAATATGGTATATCCGTACAGTGCCGCGAAAACCCAACAGGTGTCAGAAACCAGCATGCGCTGCAGCAGGTGGAACCCTGTGTGTCCTCAGTACATGTCTGTGGTCACACGTAGCCCAGTGCCCATTCTACTGTCTGAGCTGGTGCCCTTGCCTAGGACTCGCTCTGACTTGGAACTGTCCTCAGCTCTCTGGCACAGTACTGATGGTATTCCTGCATCCCTTACTGCATCCTCATGGCAGCCTTATTAGGAGATGCTGCCATTATTCCCATTTCAAAGATGAGGAAACTTGAGGCTTGGGGAGATGACCCCCCAGTGGCAGAGTGGAGGGTGGTGGAGGTGGGAACAGAATGCTGGTCTCTGGTTTCTTACACCAGAGGGTTTTGGTTTGTGGTGATTTCTGAGGCTGCGCCTCCCTGCCTGCCCCTTTGCCAGGCTTGCAAGTTGCAGCCTCCTTTGAGCAGATTGTGGACTGTGTAAATGACCCCCTACACCCTGTAGGCATGTCACATGCATGACTGTGTGGTGTTTAGAAATGTCTCCAGCTTACTCTCTGCCAGCTGGGCTGGGAGGGCCTTTCATTGGTTCCAGGCAGGAGCCGTCCTCGCACAGCCGGGTAGTACCAGGCATAGCCACCAGGTGGCACACCCACCCCAGCTCTCTGTGAATTTCCCTGTGCTTCGAAGGCATCGCGGTACCAGGCATGGCCACCAGGTGGCACACCTACCATAGCTCTCCCTCTCTCCGGGCTGCTGCCTGCAGGCCTTTGTGATTTTTGTTCTATGGTTTTGCTGTTTTTATCTTGGATTATACAAGGGGCCTCATACTTGTATCAAGACCCAGAGCTGTGGCTGAGAGCTATCCCCCACCCCAACTTTGCATGCAGGAAGAGGGGGCTAGACTGCTTCCCAGTGCCCCCACATGGGCCTTCTGCAGTGCCTGGACCCGCCAGTTGAGCTCAGGCTGGTAGAGGGAGATAATCCTCTGGCAGCGGCGGGGCGCACCTGGAGCATAGGTCTGTGCAGCTCTCCAAAGGTGATAACAGGCTGCTGGACCCGCTGTCAGATGGAATCCCAGGCCCCAGAGGCCAGGCCTGGGAAGCTGCATCCTCACAAATCTGCACCCAGGATTGAGAACTTCTGGCTGTGGTGCTGGGTAGGAGCTGAGCCTCCTCATTTGCCTCACCACCCCGCTCTGAGGCCAACTTGAGGGGGTCACCTTCCCCAGGACAGCAACTGCCCTGTTTCTCTCTGCTTCCCTGAGGCTACTGGTTAAGAGGAGAGGAGCTGGGAAAATACGCAAATGCACCTCACTTCCCGGGAGACCTCTGACCCCAGGGCCTGAGGAAGGGGGGGGTGGCCATGAGGAAGGGGAGCTGGCCCTGAGGGGCCCTCTGGACCATGAGGAGGCTCACTGGCTGAGGGTGAGGCGAGACTGGGTTTTAGCCTCTGGGCTGGAAGGCAGGCTGTGGTTTAACGTCATCTGGTGGCATCTGGGGACAGATGCTGGCCCGGGGGAGACTGACCAAGACCTAGATGCCTTACCTCGCCCTCTACCAGTACGGTTGCATTCACGCCAAATAAACACTTCAGGGACGATTCATTTTTTCCCAAAACATAAATTTATTACTCCTCTCACTGCATCTTCGAGCACCTTTGCCAGATCTCAGGAATGTGTAGAACCCTTTGCACACTTCACCCTTACTAGGCCTTGGCGACAAGGTCCCTCACAGCTTGTGCGATAGCGTCCCTGTCGATGCCAAACATCTTCAGCAGCTCGGCTGGCTTCCCGCTTCGTGGCACCTCTCCAACAGCGAGGCGGGAGACGGTGATGCCAGGCTCACCCACTAGGGCAGAGGACACCGCCTCACCTATGCCACCTGGGTAAGGGGAAGAAGGTGCGTCAGGTGATGTGGCCGCAGGGGACGTGGGGGACGCCTCCTCCACGGCCCTTTGCTGATCTGAGTTTATTGCTTTACGCAAAGATGACAGAGACAGCAAACCTGCCACCCTCCCCCAGGTCTGTGGCCACAGCAGACATGGTCCATCTCTCACGATACTGGGGTTTTCCATAAGCCTGAATGTAGCCTCTGGATCAGTTTAACACCCTCCTCTGGGCAGCTGTCATAAATGAATGAGCACCTGCACTTGACCCAGAGGCTAGGCCCATCTCTTCCCCTAGATTGGGGCCTGCCCCGGAGGACAGATGGGGCGTGCTAGCAATGAGCTGCTTCGCGAAGGACTCGCATGAGACAGAAATTCTGTGTTGCTTTCCCAATTTGATCTCGTACAACAGCCTTAACAGCCAACTACGTCAGCGATGCAAGCCACCTTTCCTACTCTCAGAGGCAAGGTCAAGAGCCTCATAGGCTCCCTGGGTGGGAGGGGCTGCGTGGGCCGGGTCGCCTGCCAAGCCCGGGGCTTGGTAAGAGGCTGAGTCCCAGCTGCTCAATGGGCCGGCTCTGGGTTTCCTGGGGCGGGGGATGGGGGGACTCCAGCCCTCTGACTGTGGTCCTGGGGCCCTGGCCCTCCCTGAGCCATCTGCCCCGCCACCCCAGCCCACGGCCTGTTACCTTCGTAGTAATGGTCCTCCACGGTGAGGATCCTCCCCTTGGTAGCTCGGGCGCTGTCAAGAATGAGATTCCTGTCCAGGGGCTTGATGGTGAAAGGGTCCAGAACACGGATGTTGATCTTCTCTGTGAGGGGACAAAACAGCAGGGCGTGGCTGGGGGGGAAGGCCTGGGTGCTGGGGGTGTCCTCTGACAGGTGGGGACAGGCGGAGGTGTCCGAAGAGTCACTGCACAGCTGCTCCCTCTCCTGGGGAGACCGCTGTCCCTGTTCCCGTTACCTAGCTAGGGTCTGCCAACCCTCCGGGGCCTGACTGCTGTCGCTGCTCATCTGTGACGCCCACGTCCTCTGGCATCCTGCACCCCCGACCTGGGAGCACCTGGTCTCAGGGAAGAGAAGCGCCCCCCCCCTCCCCTCATATCCCGGGCCGGGGGATCTTGGCCTTTGCAGCATCGAAGAACATGGAGTGGCGCGGCAGGGCCTGTAGTTTCGCACCATCCTCCCAGAGGCAGCTCCAGTGTGACGGGGGGCGGGGTCAGGGGACTGTGGGTACAGGTGCCAGGTCAGGCGGGGGCCCAGCAGAATGGCCTCAGAAGGACAAGTCACACTGCCCCGTGCCTGCTTCAAGCCCTCCCCTGGCTCTCCGTCCCTGACAGGGCGGGGCTTCTCTCCAGCAGCTTGGAGCTCTGTACACGCTGTTCCTTCTGCCCGGCCCTCTCTGCTGCCCTCTCGGCTTATCAGTTCCTACCCACCGCTGCGGTCATCTGCCTAAGGACACCCACGCCTGCCTTCTCCCTCCTGCTCGGCACGGCGACGACGGGGCCCCTGCTGTGGTTCTGTGGGCTGTGTGTGGCCTAATTCCCCGAGCGTATCAGTAGCTAACATCTGTGAGCCTGCGGTGATGGTCACAATACTGCTAGGTCACACTTATTAAATCCTCAGGACAGCCCCACTGGGAAGGTGACAGTATCTCCATTTTATGGATGGGGAAACTGAGGCATGGTGATGCTTAATAACTAGTGCCCCTCTAAGTGGCGATTCAGGCCTAATGGGAGGCTCTAGGCCTCTGATCTGACAACCGTGTTGAGGCACCTCAAGTCCTGCCCCGTGGCCCCGGGCCAACGGTCACTGCAGCCCCAGCATTTACATTAGATAGGCCTTCTTCTCCCCACCAAGACCCAGGGCACCACTGGTGCCCGATCTAGGACCTGCTGGGCCTCTCCCCCCTCACCTTTCTTCAGTAGGTCGGCAGCAGCCAAGGCCTCGTGCAGGGTCACCCCGGCCCCAATCACAGTCACCTGGTCATCCTTGCTCTTCAGGACCACCTGGGGAGGACATGGGTGCCAATGAGGCTCAGGGGTTGGTGGCTTGGGGTGAGCCCTGGCTTTGGGCACGCTTTGGGGGTCTCACTGGGGCATGAATGGCCCTGACCTTGGCTTGTTTGATTTGGAAATCCTCATTGCTGTTATAGATGATGGCGTTTTCTGGGCGGCTGGTCCGGATGAAGCAGATACCCTGGAACGGAACAGAGGGACAAAGGATTATAGGGCGTGGCACAGCCAACCTCAGGGAGTGGATTCCTTCTAGAAAGGCCAGCACTCCTCACTCGCGGAATCTCCACCCCGCCGCCCCTCCACAGGCGTGTGACAGGCCACCTCATACTGGCTGCCCCTCAAGCAGGAAACGGGACTCTTTCCTCAACAGGGTGGACCTCTCCAGCCACTCCTCCTGAGCGAGAGCAGCCCAGCGGCTTGGCCCGCCCCAAGCCTCAGACAGACAATGGCTTTTCTTTCAGGCAGGCTGGTCTCTGAGTGGGGCTGTTCCCCCAGAGTGCATCTGGCAAAGGAAGGGGCCCCATTGGGATACTCTCGTCTATGGCATTGCGGCTCTTGGTCAAGACTATGTTCTTTCGGTTTTGAAGAGCCCAGCTCAGAGAGCAGACAGGCATAGATGGCTCGATGGGGCAGAGGCTGCAGATTCTCAGTGGGGAGAGGGTACAGGGATGCGTTAGCAATGTCTGCTACACAGCAGGAAGGGGCGTGTAGATCTTGTTTTTCCTGATCTAACCTCTACAAGCTACAAACTCCAGTGGCAAGATCAGGAGACACCACTGTGAGACAGTGAATGACCAGACCAGCTCTTGGCTGGCATGCTGACACCACCCCCACCCCGGGACAGAATAGCCATGTGACCGGGGCACCGGGATGGCTCAGCTGGTTAAGTGACTGGCTCAGGTCATGATCTCGTGGTTCATGGGTTTGAGCCCCGCATCAGGCTGTCTGCTGTCAGCATGGAGCCCACTTCAGATCCTGTCCCACTCTCTCTGCCCCTCTCCCACCACAAGCTCTCTCAAAAATAAACATTAAAAAAAAAAAATAGCTATGTGACCAACCTTTGTATTGGCTGCTAATTCCACTGCCTTTTCCGTAGACACACCATCACTTGGGTAAAAGACCGTTGCAGTGGGGATTGACCGAAACATGGCCAGGTCTTCCAGAGCCATCTGAGAGGGCCCGTCTTCCCCTGGGGTGTGGAAAAGGATACAACTGAAGCAAGCCCCCCACCCATGGAATGGGATCCCGCACCCCCAACCTCCTGGTCTGAGAGTCCGGGGAAGTTACAGGTGCAAGCGTCTTGGCCCTGTTCAACTCACCGATGGACACACCACAGTGGGAGCCACAGAAATTGATGTTGCTCTCAGAGATGGCCGCCATGCGAATCTGGTCAAAGGCCCGTGTGAAGAAGGCTCCGAAAGCGCTACAGAAGGGCACTGTCCGGTTGCGTGTGGCACAGCCCACCGCCACACTCACCTGTGAGGCGGTGGGGCGGAGTCAGTGTCAGCCCCAAAGAGGAGGGAGAGGGTGGCCAGAGAGCCCAGAACCTCACACCCCTTGGTCATTCTAGTAAGTGAAGTCTCCTCTCCCCATGCAAGAGATTCCTGTACCCATGGATTCCAGTCTGTTTCTGAACATCAAACTCCTTGGACTTGAAAGATCCACATCAAAAGTTCTCTTAAAATTATTTTCCAGGAGATCATTTTTTTTCCTAGCAAATAAGCAAGACCTTGCACAGAGTAGGCTAATAGGTTTGGACACAGATGTTCGTTCCTTCCCAGGCTTCTGCAAAACCCCAGTCCCCACCTTCCTGGCCAACCCCCAGCCCTCTATGGAGACTGGTCCTCCCCACCCCTCTCTATGCCTGAGGAAGTTCCAGACCCAAATCCCAGCTTAGAAGCACCGAATGCAGGCAGTGGCTCCAAACTGGTGCCTCCTCCAGGCTCTACAACCTGCCACCTGATGTGAGCCCTCCTGCCCCAGCTCCTGGGCCCCCCTCACCCACACACCCCGCCAGCGGAGTCTGGACCCTCCAGCTGCCAAGATTAGAAGCCCCAGGGAGAACTTCAAGTTCAGCTGGACAAAGAACGTTGGGTATGGTAGAGCCAGATGGCCTTCAGACAGAGGAAGCTCCCAGTTGCTGGGGGCCTGTAGGGCAGGCTGGGTAGTTCGGCCTGAGGACCTGTTCTGTTCTAGCCTGTGACTGTGCCTATCCGACCACTTGGAAGGCCCTTTACCCAAGAGGACAGGCCCTTGCACACCTTTCACCAGCACTCATGGCCTCCACACAGCAGTTCCTGTGTGCGCCTGCAGCCCCCCCCCCCCCCCCGCCTGCCACTCCAGTCTGTGTGCTCACCCAGGACATCTGCACCCAACGATCACACACACATTCCTTTCCCTTGTCACTATAGTTCTTGGAGGCCAACGCTGGGTCCCAGCAGTTCCTGTGGCCTCCCTGGGCTGGCCTCCAGCAGGCACTTGGCATTGACAACATAACCACCCCAGGGGAATGGGGGGGCCTCAGCCCCAAGGCTGTGGCTGGCCCCGCACCCACCTGCCCACCCTGAGCACCCACCATGTTCTGCTCAGCAATGTAGCACTCGATGAATCGGTCTGGGTGCTCCTTTCTGAAGATCTCTGAGAAGGTGGAATTCTTGGTGTCCCCATCCAGGGCGATGATGCGGTCGTTGACGCGGCCCAGCTTTGCCAGGGCCTGTCCGTAGGCCTTGCGGGTGGCTATCTGTGGGGGACACAGCATGAGGGCTCTGAGCACCGGGGTAGGCATGTGGCCTGAAGCCTGGCTCGGCCTCGGGGGGCTGCAGCTTTTAGGGAAGAAAAGGAGGAAAATAGGGGCAGAAAAAGGAAGCCCAGCAACACACAGCCCTGTGGAAACATAACTTCCGTAAGGTTGCCAAGGAGAACCTCTACATGGAGCATCTCTGAAGTGCCTGCAGCCTCTTGTCCTGAGCCCAGCTGTGAGCCCTCCAAGCTGCAGACGTCCTAACACCCCAGGTCCCCCACCCCTGTGACAGGGGTCCGTGGACCCGCCCCACTCTGCACAGCAATGCACGGAGGGCCTGGGAGTCAGGAAGCCTGGGGTACAATGCTCACAGCAGCACTTTCAACAATAGCCAAATAACTGAAAGAGCCTAATGCCCATCAATGACAAATGGGTCAAGAAGATGTAGGTTATCTGTACAATGGAATACTACATGGCAGTGAGGAAGAATGAAATCCTGCCATTTGTAGCAACGTGGATGGAATTCGAGGGTGTTATGCCACGTCAAGTAAGTCAGGCAGAGAAGGACAGATACCAGGGGACTCAGGCTGAAGGGCCAGGGACGGGGACTCCACTCAGGTGCTGTGGGCTTTGATCCTAGCACTGCCAGTAGCTTGCTGTGTGCTGTGGGCAGGTCTCTGGTCCTCTCTGAGCCCGTGCAGGGAAACAGTGCCAGCGCTGGCAGGACCAACACCTCGGGGCTCCTCCTCACCCTGAACGAATCCCTTTCCCAGCCTCCCAAAGATACATCTCCGCCCCGGGCTCTGAAAACCCGAGAACCACGGCCGCGCAGCCAGACCAGAAAAGGCCCAACTCTGTACCTTGTCGCCAACTTTGTAGCTGGGGGGGCTGGGCATGCGGATGTTGGTGATGTCCACCGAGGGGGCGTCCTCTTGCGGCGGGGTCACGAGGATCTTCTTCTTGCTCTGGATCTGGCCGTAGATTTCCTGGACAATCTGGTCGGCCATGTTTTTGGGGAGGGGCTTCCCATGCCACGCCTCCTTATCCTCTATCCCTGGGGTGCGACAGAGCAGGGCAGAGGGAACAGTAAGGCAGTAGCTCCTGGGGGCCAGGAACCTGCTCCGGGGGCCTGACTCTCCAACAGTTGAGGGCAGGCCGAGAGGCCTCCCTGGATGGGGAGATACGGGGCAGGTATGATTTCGCCACAGTGAAGCAGAACCCCGTGCTGGGAGCCAAGGGGGTCAGGAAAGGAGGGTCATGGTGACCAGGAGTCCACAGGCCTAGCACCCACTCAACAGCTTCCTATTCTCCAGGAGTTCACAGCCAAGTGGGGAGGGGAGCACGCACGGGCCGCTGTACCACCTCCTGACCCGCAGGGAGGGATCTGTTGTAGAAATCCTACTCAGTTTGCTGAATGGGTTGGTCAGGAGGAAGGCTGCCCATTAGAGGAGAAGCTGAGGCCCAGAGCAGAGCAAGCACGGTCAAGGTCACCCAATGCACTGGTGTGCAGCGCAAGGGCACTCAGGTGCGTCCCTCACCACGCTGCCTTGCTGTGTGAGGACCAGCAAGGCTTAAGAGCCCCCTCCTCTGAGGTCATCTCAGAGGTCACTGCAACCCAGGCAGAGCCAGGGACTGACCCTCCCACGTAGCATGCAGCATCCCCACAGAAGCTTTGAGGTTTCCAGATCTCACGTGGTGGTAACACCTGAGGCATCAGTGCCAGGCAGCAGCACCAGGGCAATGAGGATACCCAAGGGCCCTCTCCTCGACGTCCACCCCTCCCGGAAGGCTCCAGACCCCATGCACCTTCTGCCACACAGCGGTACTCATCCTCATTTCCCGAGTCCACGTGGGCAGGTGGGCCGCCACGGCACATGGCGCAGGGACACTGGCCCAGGGTCGGCAGTCACGCCCCGGGTCCCCTGGCAAGTTTTCCCACGCCTACCACGGGCCAAGGCTGCCTCAGCCCTAGGGGTCTGGAGCCCCAGGGCCCTGGGTGCTGGGGAGGAGCAGCTTACACCTGCGTCCTGCTCTCAGGCCCAGCCAGGAACCATCTTCCAGACCCTTCCAGGCTCTCCGCCCATGTAGGACTCTGGAAGCACTTTCCCCGGTCTTCTGAGGTTTTCTGGGCTCTCTGCGCCGGCCCTTCCGCTCGGGACAGGCAGCTGGAGCTGCCAAGGATGCAGTGCAGATGATGACCAGGAAGAGTGGGGGGGACTGTGTGACTCATGAGTCCTCCTGAAGGCCCTCCTCTCCTCCTGCCCGACCTGGGCTCCAATCATGGCTCAGCCACACTGACCACTGAGTACTACACGGAGCACAGCATCGCCTGGACCCCCTTCCCCAGCCTGGTGCACGCGGTGTAAGGTGGCAAAGGGTTGGTACTTCCCCAGACACAGGACCTCAGAGACCCCTCCCTGCCGTGGAAGGCCCTACTGCCTCCGCTGGCCACAGGGCCCAGTCCCAGGGGTGGGGTGAGCGAGGCAGGGTGTGCACACAGACCTGGGATCCCCCGGCCCTTGAAGGTCTTGGCGATGATGGCCGTCGGCTGGTGCTTGGCCTGGCCAAAGGCCTTGCACAGCTCCTCCACGCTGTGCCCATCCACGATGACGGTGTGCCAGCTGGGGACAGAGAGAGGAGAGTGAGCAGTGAGGGCCGGGAAGCACTCAAGAATTTTGGGTGTGCCTGGGTGGCTCAGTCGATTGGGCGCCCGACCCTTGATTCTGTCTCCTTTTCGCTCTCTGCCCCTCCCCCACTTGCTCTCTCAAAAATAGACATTAAAAAAGACTTTAGAGTTTCTGTTACCACTTTTGGTTTTATTTTCTGTTTTTCTTTCTCATTTGTACACATTCTTTTACTTCCTCTTACTTGTCTCTGAATAGATTTTTTTCCTAAGTAATGCAAAGCTTGGTCCATTTATTTTCTCTTTCGCTTCTGATCTAGCTGTTTCCCTGAAATCCACTCATTTCCTGAAAGTTGCACTGGGGCCAAAGCACTGTTCTAGAATGTGTCTGCTGTTGGCCTGACTCTTATTCAGGGAACACATGTGACTACCACACAGATGCTAGATGTGGTGCTGGAAACACTCACAACGTAAGCCAGGCTATCAAAGACAGGAAGAAGCCCGCGCAGGGCGAACTTTCTCTTTCAGGCCATCATTTTTGGGACTCTGTCAGATTAGTACCAGTAAAATAGTGGCTAACGTGCACTCAGTGCACTGAGTGCCCGCTCTGGGTGGGCATGGGCTGAGCACTACACATCAAACCCTTGCCACAATCCCTTGAGCTGGGCACTGTTGTTTCCCCCATTTTTTTAAAAGACTTTTTAAAAAATGTTTATTATTTCTTTCCTTTTTTTTAAAAATTAAAAAAAATTTTTTTTTTAATTTCAGAGAGAGAGAGACAGCATAAGCAGGGGAGGGTCAGAGAGAGAAGGAGACACAGAATCTGAAGCAGGCTCCAGGCTCTGAGCTGTCAGCACAGAGCCCGATGCGGGGCTCGAACCCACAAACAGTGAGATCATGACCGGAGCTGATATCAGACGCTTAACTGACTGAGCCACCCAGGCGCCCCTAATGTTTATTATTTCTGAGAGATACAGGGGGTGGGAGCAGAGAGAGAGGGGGACACAGAATCCAAAGCAGGCTCTAGGCTCTGAGTTGTCAGCACAGAGCCCAGCGTGGGACTCAAACTCAGTAACTGCGAGATCATGCCCTGAGCCAAAGCTGGACACTCAACCGACTGAGCCACCCAGGCGCTCTGTTTCTCCCATTTTATAGATACATAAACTGAGGCACTGAGGATGGAACAAGCCTGCCCAAGTTCTCAATGCAAATTGTCGATACAACCAGGACTTGAGGACACAGGTTATGGACACAGACCCAGGGCCACTGCCTGTGTTATGCTCCAAGTCCCCAGCCAACGTGGCCTGGGGAGACTCTTGAGATACTGGAGGCCCAGTTTTCTCCTCTGTCCAACAGAGTGTTTCCTCTCTTCCCTCCTCTATCAGGTCAGTCATCAGAGATAACAATCTGCAACTGCTATGTAACCCCCCCCCCCCCCGACTGCAATCCCACCTTGACCTCTGCCAGGCAGACTCCACTACAAAGGGTGGCCCTGGAGGCCCTCGGCCCCCAGAACCCTGTGCAGCCTCAGCCCAGGGTCTTTCAGGCTCCTCAGCAGAGGCTGAGCGTGGGGGCCCGGGTTCCCTAGACCCTCACTGCAGCACAGCCTTCATTTGGGGCAGGGGAGGGACACTGAGGTGGGGGTCCCCGGCTAACACCCACCCAGATGACCTTCCTGCTTGGTAGCATGTGACCCCAAATTCCCAACCATTCACGGCCCTTTGAGGAAATCTGAAAACCCTATTGCCCACCTCACTAGGAGAGGGGGGCTGTCTCTGCCCTTCAGGCTGGCTAGGGCCACACACAGGTAGTGGCCACCACACAGATGCTCAAACTCCTCGAGAACTATCGTGTCCCACAGTCTCACCAATAAAGGAAAGCACTTACACTGGGCCTCAGCCCACAACTCCAGGCTGGCGGCCTAGGTTGCCACTTTAAGTCTGAAATTTTGAGTCGAATGCTGAAAAACAGACACCTTCTTTAGACGGGGCCTGGCCTGTGGCTGATTCAGCCCCTGAGCCTGAAAAGCTTCCAGCTGACACGGCTCCTATGCCACGAGCGTGCTCAAGCCACAGGCCCGTACTTACCCAAAGGACTCACAACGCTTCTGGTAGACGTCCACCTGGTGCTGCAGCGGGGTGGGGTCGCTCTGGCCCAGGCGGTTGATGTCAAGAATGGCGATCAGGTTGTCCAGCTTGTAGATGCTGGCGAAGGCCATGGCCTCCCACACAGAGCCCTCCGACAGCTCCCCGTCTCCCAACAAGCAGTAGACGCGGTAGCTGCAGACAGGAAGTGCGTCAGAGGATGGCCCCTCTCACCGGGGGCACCGTGCTCCAGCCCGTCCCTCCCGGAGAGCCTGTCCCCAGACAAGTGAGCGGCGGCCATGCAAGACATCCAACAGTGCCTCAGTCAGGCCCCTGCTGCCCACCCGGGGCCACACCCAGTTCTGCTCCACAAGAACAGGGGTTGTCAGGGGGTGAGTTAATGAACAGTTGGTGGGGTTAACTACTCTCACTGGGGGGACGGGGCTTGCGACACCTGCATGGGGTGGGTCTACTTCTCTCCACCTGCCCAGGAACTAGGGGTGTTGGGGAGTCCTGGGGACTCGATCCCAGGGGCAGGCTGGGGAGGCCGAGACATGGCACCAGGAGCATACCAGGGCAACCTGTCAGGTGGGAGAGGGGTCACTAACAGGGGCATCTGAGGACCGGGACCATGGTGAGGACAGCACCTCCCAGGATGAGCTCTCTGCAAGGCTCCAAGGCTGCTTCTCACCCCAAGACTCATGCTAGGCCTGGCTCTTTCTCTGCCCGTGGGGCCTTGTCCTGAGTCGACAAGGCAACCATGATGGCCTCAAAGGCAATGTGACCTGATAAAAAGAGAACTGAACTTGGAGGCAAGTTACCTAGTAAACAGAGCCCTCCTTGGATCCCGGGGAGGGTGGAGCCAAGGGGATGAGGCTAGAGGAAGGGAGGCCAGTTCAGAGACTCTGAGATGGGAGGGGATGGAGTTGGCTGAGGGGCAGGGGCCACAGGTGTTAGATCCACTGACCCCGTCATCCACGGGCCTGTGCGTGGCACCTAGGGGCTCTCTGTACTGAATAGCCCTGTCCTTGAGGTAAGTGCCCTTGTTGTCCCCAAATCACACAGACAAGAAAGCAGGCTCAAAGGTCAAGGGGCTTGTCTAAAGGTCATGCAGCTGGGGCCCTTAGCCCACACTGTCCATTCCTTGCTGTCTAGGAGCGTACACGGATGGAGCAGTGATAGCACATGGAGACCTGCCACTTTCCGGGCCCAGCGTCCAGCTGTGAGGCCCCAGGGAATGAGGTTTGTGCCCAACAGGCTCAGAGGGCCCCCAGCTGCCCGCCACTGCAGCAGACAAGCCCTGGAGCCCGCTGCAGCTAAACTGTTCTAGCTCCAGGGCCTCTGACTTCCAGGCCTAAGGCGGGGGAGCTGGAAGAGGCGGGCACGGCCAGGGTGAGCTGTCAGCATGACTCAGCACTTCTGCGGCCGCCAGGTCAGGGACGGCTCCTGCATCCTCCGCAGCCCGTGCCTTCCCTTCTATGGCCTCCAGCAGGCTAGGCCACTGGGTCCTGGGACAGGAGGCAGGGGTTTCGGGGCCCACACTCGAAGGGGCCTATTGGAAGCCGTATTCTGTCCCAAGCTGGTCTCTTGTCCCCTCTGTGGGCTGCAAGGGGGCCCAGAGATGCTGCAGGGGTTGCCCCTGGCACCGCAGCGCCCCAAAAGTGAGTAGCCTGATGGAGACTTGCAGGGAACCTGACTGCCCCCAGAGGAGACTGCAGGGAAGCACTGGGCTGCCTGCCCAACCCCACACCCACTTCTGCGGAAGTCAAAATCGGGCCAAGGGTGGAGCGCAGCCTCAGGCTTAGATCAGGAGGGCGTGCTAAGGTCCTGAGGAGACACGGGGGAGGCCTGTGAGCAGGAAAGCGGCCCCGCAGAAGCTGAGGCTAACCCTGAGGCTCTGTACCCAAGTTGCTGGATTTGGAGAGGGGGCTGCAAATGCCCACAGTCATGAACTACCGAGGAGAAGGAACTCTAATGAGAGATCTATGTTTGCTGCAGGTGTCTGAAGAGCACCTCAAATGTCCAACAACAGGACCGCCTAACAGGTTTATATCCATAAAACAGGACATTACGTAGTCATTAAAACTAGCTCTCAGGGCGCCTGGGTGGCTCAGTCGGTTAAGCGTCCGACTTTGGCTCAGGTCATGAGTTCAAGCCCATGTCAGGATCTGTGCTGACAGCTCAGAGCCTGGAGCCTGCTTCGGATTCTGAATGTCTCCTTTCCCTCTGCCTCTCCCCTGTTTGCACTCTGTGTGTGTGTCTCTCTCTCAAAAATAATATAAAAACATTAAAAAGAAAAAAACTAGCTCTTGATAGTTAAGGGAGAAATGTTCGTGATGCTTAGATTTTTCTAAAAAGCAGAATGCAAAATTGTACGCATACTAGGATTACAAATTTCTAAGTTCCTTCTCCCAATAACATGAAAGAAATAGGGTACATTAAATGAGATTCAAATGGGACGTAGCTGAGAATAGGAAAACGGTTCATTTCTTTTTAATGCTGTTCTATATTTTTCACATGAGCTGTAACTGTACTCGACAACTCAAACAAAATTATTTAAAAGAGAAATGAACGCGAGCCAACTTGATGTATGTTTCCTGGTCGGATGGTGGGACAGACGTGACCCGAGGCCAGATCCTACTCTAGCAGGCCACCGGTTCGGGAGCCGGTAATTCCCCTGACGCCCCCGCCCCCTCCCGACAAGGTACAGTCCAAGGGCCTGAGCCTTAGCCAACCCTGGCTTCTGGGAACCCAGCTAAACCCCTTCTCTCTACCCTGGCTCGTTCCATTATGTGAGGGTCAGGAAATGACCCTTCACAGGGAATTATTTCAAGCATCTGTAGGGAATAATTAACTCACATCTCTGGTTCTGGGCCAAATAAAATACTCTTAAACATACATCCCCTTCTTTGTGCCTTTCTTCACCTCACGGTGAATCACTTCTGGTGGAGCTGAGCTTGGCCCCAAGAGGGTCTGAAAGGCCCCCAGCACCTCAGCTCACCTCCCGGAGAGTGGTGTCGGGCGCCCCTTCCCCGCGCGCAGCGTCACATCCAGTGAGGCTCCCCGCATCCCCTCTCTTCCCTGGGCCCACAGTGACCACCGCACCCTCCTGACTGCCCCGGCTGCCGTCCTGGCCTTGCCAGGCCGCTGGGAGGTGCCTCCTCGGGGACTCCTCCCACTCATGGGCTCCCAGAATCTGCTTTCCTTGGGCTCCTCAGAGCTGCCCGGGGCCTGTCCTGGGTGCAAATCCTGCCGCCGCCACCACCACCAGGAAAGCATTTTACCTTAGTGTTCCCATCTGTGAGAGGGGTAAATGTAGTCATGTGACCACCCAGCCCATAGGGGACTTGTCAAAGTGAAACCCTAGAAAGCACAGAGCCCAGGGTCCCAGTCAGTAAAGGAACGAAGGAACCACCCGACGCATCCTTTCCTTGAGTCTGCAGCCAACTCTTGCCCCCTCCTACCATAAAGACACCAGTCTGCGGGCCCCCGACGGCCACACTGCACAGCCTTGTGACTGAGCCCTGCCACAAGGGGGCTCTCTTCCACACCTCCCCAGGCCGCAGCGGCAAACCTCTCTGCCCACCCTCTGCAGGTCAGTCTCCCCAGTGTTTGTTGACAGGTGGCTGGCAGGTGGGGCTCGGGGATGCCCAGAACCCTGTAGGACACATAATCTCCTTCCCTACGATGAAGGCACGTGGCTCAAACCCAGGCATGTGGCCAGCCGCTGGGGGGATGGGGCCTTCTGAGACTTCTCGGTGAACTCCTGGCCCTGCTGTCACTGGGAGAGGACGCTTGGCAAGTCTCTGCTCCTATGAGGCTATTTCCTCATCTGGAAATGGGGCCGGTCCCGGTCCCACAGGTATGGTTACTCAGCTTCTAGTCCCCACCACAAGGGGAGGTACCTGGGTGCAATAGTTAAGGCTGGGCCACCGGGGACCCCTCCCAAAACTACTGAGGGTAAGGTAGGGGAGTGGGAGTGTTACCTGGCTTTGTCGAAGTATTTGCCTGTGTAGGCCATCCCGCAAGCGGCCCCAAGGCCCTGGCCCAGGGAGCCAGTGGCCACGTCGGTGAAAGCTTGTTTCTGTCACAGCAGAGGTCCACAGTCACTCATGGGGGAGAGAGCAGGCAATGGCAATTCCCAACTACCCTCCCAGGACGTGGCCTCAGGGCCTCCCTCCCCGCTGATCCAGGTGACCCAGGTGCAGCCGGTGTGCAGGGTAGGCCACCTCCACCCAGAGTGTGACCTCTCCCTCTCCCGTAACGGTAACCATGGGTGTGCTTCAAATACCAGCCCCGCTCACAAGCTTGCTGTGTGACCTCAAGATCCCACATCACCCGCCTGACTACACAGTGTCCGGAAGAGTCCATGAAAAGACGGATGAAACATTTGGCCTTAGTGGGTGCCTGGTTCAGTGGGAGGGGCGCGGGCAAGTTTTCATGGTGACCCATGAACTCCAAACATTTGCAGGGACCAGCACCTCGAGGAGAAAGCCGGAACCTTTCCCTGGGGTGTCACCAGCGTCCTGCTGTGACCCCCCTCACTGACTTCCCGGTGAACCCGTCTACACAGCCAGGGAAGCCCAGTGGGGCAGGGAGGCTGGATGTGTGGTGCCCAAGGAGAGGTCCTCTCTGCAGCTGACCTCTGGGCTGGGGCCTCAAAAGGCCTTGCTCGTCCGTCAGGACCAGCTTGGGGTGAAGAGTGTGCCCCGGAAAACTCCACTTCCTTCCGTCTTCACCTCAAAGCCCTCTTCCCCCTTTCAACACCATCCGATTCTCAGTGAGCACCCTGCCCCCCTTTCCCACATGCCTTGAAGAATAGGAAGTGGAGACAGAGGACTGGGCTGCTCGTGGTGGGGGCTGCTTACCGGAACAGGGTGCCCGTCCAAGTCCGAGGTGATCTTCCTCAGGTTCAGCAGCTCCTCCTCAGGCAGGAAGCCGGCCTCGGCCCACACAGCATACAGGATGGGGGCCGCGTGGCCCTGACAGGGGATGAAGGCGGAGGGGCGTCAGCTGCGGAGCCGAGACTCACGGACCGTTCCTGCCACGCACTGAAAGCGGCCCTTCCGGGGCAGTAGCAAGGGAAGGCCACATCCCCCTTCGTCCCACTCCAGCCCGAAGCTCCCAACAGCCAAGGCTGAGCGGGCCCGGGACAGGTGCAGGGGCAGCACAGCTGTGGGGCCGGCCGATGCCAAAACCCCAGCAGGCAGCAGGCCACCCTAATCCCTGCTTTCTGGCATGTGAGCAGACTTGGACAGACTTCTAAGCTCTCATGCCTGCCCTGGGAGCCCAGAGACCGCTGAGCCAGGGCTGGGCACAGGTGGATGTCAGGGGCCCGGGCCATGGTTTGTGCCTGTGATTCTCGTGCATGAGTGGCAGGACGAAGTGGCTCATCCCAAACCCTGCTCTGGTGCACCACTCCTCAGGGAGCACGCAGTGGCCCTGGGGCGCTGGCCCACCACAGAAAGGTGTGTGCACAAAGCCACAGAGCTGCACCCCAGATGCGGACTTGAGTCCTGCCTGTCGACATGAAATGGGGAGAGCACCTGGCAGATCATTTTCACGATCCCCTATTGATTCAGCTGTTTATTTCTTAACTTGGGTTAAGTGTACCAGCTGGGTCAGCACAGACGAAGACAAGAAGAGGCCGGCTGCGCCGAGCGGGTAGATCGGGAGCGTGGGCCAAGCCAGTAGACCGGGAGCGTGGGCAGGGAGCGTGGGGGGTAAGTGTGAGCCCGGCGGGTAGACCGGCCCGTGGGCCGAGAGCATGGGCCGGGGCAGGCTCACATTAGGGGGTAGGTCCCCTCAGGGAGCACCTTCTCGCCGTTCCAGGGCCCATGAGGCACCTGGCCCAGGTGAAGGCTGGCAGGCCGGGCTCCTACCTTGGAGAGTACAAAGCGGTCGTTGTGAGGGTTCCGGGGGTCCAAGGGCTTGTAGCGCATGGTGTGGAAAAAGAGGACAGCCATGATCTCCGCGGCACTGCAGCATGACGTGGGGTGGCTGTGGGCCAGGAGAGAGACGCACGCATCATGGATGGCCCTGGGCCGCTGACCTAAAGCACTCACCCCAGGCCTTCATTCGGGGACCTGAGGGGTGCGTGTGCCAAGGAGTCGCAGGCCTGGCTAATCCGAGAGCCGCAGGCTCCTGTTCCTGGGCGGGCGGCACAGGGTCACACCCTCCTGGGGCTCAGCAGGCCAGAGCCCTAGAGAAACAGCAACTGAGTATTTCTGGGGCCGGACTAGAGGAAGAAAGAAGGGACCCCAGAGACTGGGCCCAGAAGACCCGGTGCAAGGCAGCGTCGAGGCTGGCAGGGAGAGCCTAGTTCTTGCCTCACGGCTCCTAACAGCAGATGGGAGGACTCAGCAGCCCAGAAGCAGTGGCCCCTGTATGTCTGACCCATGAGCTATGTCCCGGAGGCACTGCTTAGGACGGTGCCCGCTCGCGAGGGGTGTCCTGCCCTCGCAGGCGGCCAGGCATGCCGGCTCTCCCAGGCCACGGGCAGGGGGTGAGGGAGCAAGGCTCACAGAATGAACCCAAATCTCCCAGCAGCCTCAGTACACAGGGTCCGCAGTCGGAAAAGTGGGGCTTCGGGCTCTCCAAGACATCACTGGTTACCTGGCAGCTTTCCAACAGGCATTCTAAAGGCTGGCAAAGGAGCCAAGCCTTTGTGCAGAATTTAAAAGGCAAAACATAATCTCATCTCCACAAAGGCTGAGGTCATGAAAAAATGGAAACCCTTTCTGTGACAAGGGCTGCAGGGGCGCTGACGGAAGCAAGAGACTGCCCCTGCGGCCCTGGAGTGGTGGGGTCAAGGGGTCTCCCCTTTCTTTAGCCTCTTGCTCTATTATATTAAATACAGTTACTTGAGAGAGGAAACAACAACTTGCTTTAACAACAGAAAATGCAAAGTTTCTATCTTAGCTGAGAGTTGTTCGGGTCTCTTTAGGACCCACACGATCACCCTAGCACTGGGGCTAGAGACTGGGGGACATGCTGTAGCTCCTGGCTGGTCCTGACGCCTCCCTGGTCCACAGTTGTCAATATGTTAGCCTCAGGGCCCGTGCCCCCCAGCCGCCCGCTCCATGCAGCGTAGCATAGCCCTCTGATGCTGCTCGGAGGAAACATGCCCAATGCCAAACCCAAGGGCACATGCAACACCTGGAGTTCACGCACGCCTCCCTCCTCCCCTGCCTGTCGGCTCCCCCCACTGGGTTAGGGGTGAGTCACTCCCAGCGCAGACACATTAGTAGAGAAACCGAGAACTGTCCATGCTGGTTTAGTACCACATCCCCGGCACACAACCGTCTTATACTTAGCCATCTCTATGAACTCCTGGTCATGGGGGAAAGACACTAGGCCTGAAAGAGGGAGGTGCGGAGATGTAAATAGGAAACCTTGCCCTGCCCGGCAGGGACCCCGCTTCCCCATTCCTCGCCGAACTTCAGCTGGAGGATATCCCCACCACCGCCAGTCAGGCTGACTCCAGGGGGCGGGCGGCCAGGCCTCTGAGGACCCCTGTTTCAGAAGCTATGACCCCCTGATGAGGAATTGGGGGAGGAGGTGGGTGGAGAGTGAGCCAACCTCTCAGAGAAGGAGGAAGGAAGGCAGGTGCAGGAACATCACCCGCCCCACCCACCATGTGAAGCGGGGCGACGTTCCCCACGGGGAGGGGGCCCCCCAGGGATGAACGGTGAGGCACAAGCCTTTCCACAAGTGGTGGAATCATGCCCAGGCCTGGGCAGAGTAGAGGCGGATGGAGGCAGAAGGTCAGCCAGGAAGAGACACCAGAAGTTGAAGAGTAGTTGATTTTAACCCTTCCTTGCTAGGTCCATGCCGAGCGAGCCTGCTGTGTTATTCCCTGCAAGCCTGCATCCTGGCCTCACTGCCGGCCGTGTGCCTGTGCCCACAGAGTAAAGACAGAACAAGCGCTTCGCCTCTCTGAGGCTCAGCTCCTTGGCCTGTAAACAGGGATGCTGGGGGGGGGGAGGGGGGCGCCGGGAGGCCGGGTGAGACAGTGCATCTCTCACCACTGGCCACACCATCCGCTGGAAGACCCGATGCCAAACCTCTCAGGGCCACTCCAACTCCTCACGCGCTGGCTGGGACCGTGACACCCTGCTGACCGTGGGGCAGGTAGGAGGAAAGAAACAAGCCAAAGATTGAGACGTGGCTGTAAACTGTAGAGCGCTGAGCACACCGGAGATGGTTACTTGTAAGCTCAACCTCCTACAGGCACTCCAGGGCCGAAAGTGTATGGAGTCTGCTTCAGGGCCTGAGTTTTCCCTGCAACCCCAGCCTGCCTGGGGAGGACTTCTGTGGGTGGAGGCCCCACCCTCTGGGGTTGTGACACACCCAGGGATGCAACTGGCTAGTGACAGGGGGGTAGGGCAGGCCCTGGGTAGGCTGTAGGGGACTTGACATCCTACTCTCTGTGATGCATGCAGGCTACAAGCTTGTCCAAAGTGAAAAATCCACTTTCAGGTTCATTTTGTTCAATCTATGAAGGGGGTACTGGCTGCTTAGAGAAAGGCCTAATAAGTGCCTCCGTGGTCCCACTTAGCAGAAGACACATTCTGCCAGCTGCTCCCCCTCTCTTCCCGTTAGCACGCACTCTACCTCTTCACCATTTCCCCCGCAGTTAAAGTGCAGGAAGGTCCCTCACCTCTCTGGCTAGGCTGCTCTCCATTATCAACGTGGCTTCAAGTCTCCATAAAAATGACCCTTTTCCTGCCATACTCAAGCTGGGCCAAATCACAAGCAGTCACAAGGCTTCTGAGCAAATGAACAAACCAGGATGCCAAACAGCCTCACCAAGGCAGACCCCAAGGTGTAAAAGTACAAAGTCATCTACTGTAAAGAGAAAGGAAGTACTCAATGAAGTAAAAATCACAAGCATTGAAAACTCATAGCCAAGAAACAACTTAAAAGCTTAGAAAAATGGAGTGAGCTCAGATAGTAGAAAGATAATAAAGAACAGAAATTCATAAAGTAGGAAGCAAATATGCAATAAGGAAAAAAAAAAATCAAAGCCAAGAGATGGCTCTTCACAAGAGTACAAATTTAGTAAACTTCTGATAAGGCAAGATCCAGAAAAAGAGAAGGCCAGTGTCAGAAATGGAAGGACAGGCATACCAGATGATACAAGACTCCAAACAGCCTGATGCAAATACATTTCAAAACGGAAAATGTTTAGGAAAAAAAATAACTTACCAAAACTGACTCAAGAAGAAATAGAAAACTCAAGTAATCTTTGAACTGTTACAAAGGGACCAATCAGCAGCTGCAGATGCACATTCAAGAAGGCCCAGCAACCCCACTGGTAAGACAGTCCCCCAGCAAACCGAGTGCTCTAGGAAACGCAGGAGCTGTGTCTGCAATGGCCACTCCTGGAGGCCACCCACAGACCCAACACCCACATGTGAGCAAAGTATACGACTGAAGGATCTGCAGACCAGAGAAGACCATCCTATTTACAGAGATATACAAATGTTATAAAGCAATAAGGAAAATAATAGGATGAAAATGCAAAATTCAGGGTGTAGCTCTTTCTGGAGGAGGGACACCCAGGAATTTTAAAGCACTGTAATGTCCTAGTTGTTAAGCCTGGTGGTTGATACGTACAGTGTATTATTTATAACATGTGCATTATTTATATTCTTTTTAAAAAAAAATGTTTATGTATTTGGAGGAGGGGAGGGGCTGAGAGAGGGAGATAGAATCCTAGTGTGGGGCTCCTTCTCATGAACCTTGAGATCATGACCTGAGCCAAAATCAAGAGTCAGACGCCTAACCAATGGAGCCACCCAAGTGCCCCAGCATTATTTATATTCTTTTTTATTTTATTTTCTTTTTTTAAAAAACTTTTAAATTTATTTTTGAGAGAGAGAGATAGAGACAGCGTAAGCAGGGGAGGGTCAGAGAGAGAGGAAGACACAGAATCCGAAGCAGGCTCCAGGCTCTGAGCAGGCTGTCAGCACAGAGCCTGACGGGGCTCGAACCCACGAGTCGTGAGATCATGACCAGAGCCGAAGTCGGACGCTTAACTGACAAGCCACCCAGGCGCCCCAATTTATATTCTTTTTTAGGCATACATTTATTTCAACAAAAATACTCAGGAGGGAATCCCAGGATGGAAGGTGGGAGTGAATCTTGGAAGCAGTCCTTCCTCTTCCTAGAACTGCCCTAGCTGGCTCCTGCCTGGAAAGACTCTGCCTCCAGACTTTCCCAGCGTTATCCCATGCCACCTCCTCTGAGAAGCCCTCCCTGACCACATTATCTAAAAATAACTCTTCAGGGTGCCTGGGTGGCTCAGTCCATTAAGCGTCTGACTCTTGGTTTTTGGCTCATGATCTCAGGGTCGAGAGCAAGCCCTGCATTGGGCTCTGTGCTGAGTATGGAGCCTGCTTAAGATTCTCTCTCTCCCTCTCCTCCCACTTTCTCTCTCTAAATAAAGTAGAAAGATCTCTTCTTCCCTGCATTTACACTGCCACCACCTGGCATTATCTGCCTATTTCCTGCCTGTCTATTTTACTACAGCACAAGCTCCATGAAGTCAGGGACTTTGAGCCTTTTCACTGTTGTATCCTCGGGTCTGAACAGCCCGACACACAGGACACAAATGAATAAATGATGTACCCTGGCTCTGAGCCCCTAAGGATGTGACCTCCCTGAGCCTTGGTAAACACGGAGATAGTTAAGAGAAGCTCGCGGAATGAGGTAGTATATGTGTAAGGAGCTTGGCACAGTGTACAGAAAAATGGCAGTTGTTCAATATTTGCACTTAACCTATCAGAGATGAAGTCTAACATCTTCCTCGTTTTGAGGATGGAACCACTAAGGCTCATAGAAGGGGAGTGACTTGCCCAAGGTCACAAAGTCTACCATCAGAAGAGCTAGGACAAACGCAAACTGCTAAGAGAAAATTAGGGCACCTGGGTGGCTCAGCTGGTTAAACGTCTAACTTCAGCTCAGGTCATAATCTTTTTTTAAAAGGTTTATTT